CCTGGGACCTGGACCTGAGACTGATGCTGGACTGGCTGGGAGTGGTACTGGCACCGGCACGTTATGGTGTGAGTTACAACCGGTAGGAAGGGAAGACGGAGCTAGGAGACAAAGGCCCGTTCCGGAGCCTGTTGGGGGTCAACAGGAGGGCCCAGTTCAGGAGTGTTGGAAAGCCCTGCCAGGCCCAGGTCCCTCTCAGCCTCGGCCAGCACTGCAGGGACAGGGACGAACTGGAGCAAAGCTAGCCAGGCCTCTCTCTCACTCTTCCAACACCGCTTGCCTCCACCCCAAAAAGGAGCCCTGTTGGCTCCGGAGCCACAAAGCTTGGGTGGGAAGGGTTAACCGGGCTGCCGGTCAAGACACTTTTGCTGCCCACTCCGGGGTGGGGACCGAGGCCGTCCAAGGGTGGGACAAACACTCATCTATCTGCCTCACCGCCACCGTTTGCTTTCCTGCAGACCTCAGGGTTTCAGAGGACTAGGAGGGAGCAGCCATGAGAATGAAAGCTTAGCTACCTGAATTCCTTCCCCAAACAAGCCCTCAGAGAAATCAGGGTGCCCTCGCTCGTTCGTCTCCTCAGCCGCCGCTCGGCGCCGGAGATCCAGCCAGCTCGGGCGGCTGGGTCCTGCCGGACCGCGCGGGGAAAGCCGGCGCTAACCCGCCGGAGCTGCGAGGATCGATCGCGCTCTCCCACGCTCCCAGTTCCCAGCCCCCCCCGCCGAGACTTGGAGACGACTTCAGCAAACTTGGGGAAGCAACTTTTCCCAGGGAGCCTGACTCCAGGAAGAGCGAGAATAACTAGAGAAGAGGGAAAACGAAAGAGACCCGGACGAAAGGCGAGCGTCCGGGCAGGCAGGACGCCGGCGGCGAGAGCGGCAAGGAGGCGGACCCGCCCCACGGCGAGGGAGAAGCACAAAAGCCCGGCCGCCAGGGGTGGAAGGAAAAGGGTCTGCGGCCCTCTTTCTGCGACCCAAGGCCGTGACCCCTAGGGAGCGACAGGCAGAGTCTCCGGCCTCGAACCGGCGGCGCCAGCTGCTGGCGTGCCCGGCCCAGGCACGTCGCGGGCGTCCAGGGGAGGCG